CACACACACACACACACACACACACACACACACACACACACACACACGAGTGTGCAAACACACACACACACTCAGGCAAAACATCACTTCCCCTTGGCCTTCAGCAGCAGGTGATAATTACCTTTGGCATTTCAGGTGTGATAGTCACTCTGAACAAGTACATAGACACATACATGCCAGCCATCATGAGAATGAGCAGGCCATGACGAGGGCTGCCATGGGTCCTCAGGCCTTGCTGCAGAGAAGCAAGGGAAGACTTTTAATCCACACTGAAATGAAAATGAGAATTCAGTGATTTTTGTTACTGACCCGAGCTACAGCTCTGTCCGAGATGAAACCTGCTGCGAGGCTGCCGACAAAACCTCCCACCTCCAAGGCACTCATGTAGGTACTGCCTGTTGACAACATGGTGTTGTTAGGGCCCAGCAACTCTTAAAGTAAAAGTTAATTATCTACAGGAGTGCTGAGTGCTGAATGTGTCTGCTGAAATTAGCTTAAGAATCTAAAACTGAGCTGTTAAAGCTAAAAGTAGCAAAAGGTTAGCTAGAAACAAAACATAGCAAAATGTTAATAAATGCTAAAAGTGTCAAAATGCTAGCTAAAAGCTCTAAAAAGCAGAACAGTAGGTAAAAGTAGAAGAATGGTTACCTAAAGCAGCTAATAGCTATAAGTAATAGAATGATAGCTAAAAGCTGCCAAAAGAGCTAGCAAAAAGAAGCAGAATGGTAGTTAAAAAAGAATGGTAGTTAAAAAGAATGGTAGTTAAAAAAGAATGGTAGTTAAAAGCATAATGTAGCATTGGAAAGCAAAAACTGCACAAGTGTCCTGATGCAGAACAAGTTTGTTAAATCATATTTCCAGTGGTGTGCACAGCTAACCAAAAACAGCTTTGTTAACGCTAAACTGATTTAAAAAAAAAAAGTGTGGAAGCTAACGCTAAAGTGCTAACTTTTATCATACGCTGTTGTCGCCAACTCTGTAAGACTGTCTGTAATGTGACAACATTGTAAGTGAACACAACTCAAAACGATTCATAAATCACAATCTGTGATTTATGAATCGTTTTACTTGTGAATCGTAAGTATTCACTGTGTGTCGGACGTCTCCCTCCCTTTACTACGATGAATTAACTCATTCTGGCGATCTTCTTTGTGGTTAATTACTTTTATAAACTAACTACAAAGTTGCTGTGTCATCACCAATATTCTCTCAGTAATAAATCTGTTTGTGTTAAAGTAAAGATATGTAAAGAAATGTGTGAGTGTGCTAGGTGGGAATTGTGTGTGCAATGTTTCTGACTGTTTACGATGTTTGAGTGTGAAAATGGGTTTTTCATGTTGTTTTCCTGTTCTGGTTTTGTTAAAGTCTCTGTTATTGGCTGTAATCTGACACCATGAGACAGAGACTGTTTGTGGTAAATATGGGGGGGGGGGGGGGCACTGCGAGGGTGATGCCAACACCGGGTAAATGTTCAGTTTTGCATAGCATAGCTCAGCTCTATGTAAGTAAATCACCATTCTCCTGTACGCTTTCAGTGTGAAGAACTGTCTTGAAAAAATTAGCAGACTTGAATTTACCAGATTTAAAATTTAGCTGAAGCCATTTCTGCTAAAAGGTATGGAAAGTTAGTGAAAACGCTAATCCGCTAAATGGAAAGTTAGTTTTGTTATTCGCAGATTAGTAGAACTGTGCCCACCACTGCAGATTTCAAATGGAACAATGTTTTTCAAGAAACTGAAGAGATCTAAATGTATGGGGAAATATGAGTAAATAAGAATAAATATTTATAAAAGTAAAAATGCTACCAAAACTAAAAGTCATAGCATCCATTTCATAATAGAGTTGAGAACGTGCTAATGCTAAAATCACACAAAGCATGCAGACATAATTAGATTGAAAAAAAAAAACACACACTAAAAAGTAAAAAAATTCAATTCAGTTTAAACAACAGGAAGACAACAGTGTAAATATTGGATTAGCCATCACACAAAAGCATACCCATGAGAGCAGTTTGGCCTTTCTCCTGCATGAGGAACAGCTGCCCCCAGTCAGTGGCTGCCGTCTTCACCCCAAACACGACCAAATAACCCAGAGACAGCACCCACAGGAAGGGAGAGAGGAGGAACTCACTCAGGGTGCTCTCACTGTTGCCTGGTGAGAAAACACAAGAAGTCAGCCATATACACTGCTGATTCCCAATACTGCATGTTGGTACTGGTAACTGTAACTGCTATTTTCCTTCCCTCCATTGATTACGGTGATATTATTTACATGAACGCTCCTACAAGAACCCTGCAGATGTTGGATGCTGTCTATCATGGTGCACTAAGATTCATAACTGGCTGTGATTATCGTACCCACCACTGCACCCTGTACTCACTGGTCACCATTAACTTCACGCAGACTCTCCCACTGGTACATTTTCATCTTTAAATCACTTCTTGGTCTGCTGCCTTCATACATCTCCTCCTTCATGTCTCTGTGTGAGTGCAGCTACAGCGTGCGCTCTCAGGACATTATTACCTGCAGTGTTTGCTCACCTCCTTTTACCCCCTTTTTGGCTGATGCCTCGATGCTGGGAAGGCCCACATCTTTTGGCTCGTTCTTCACAAACGCCAGACAAACGAATGAGAAGGTGGCACATAAAATCCCAGACATGGTCAGGATCATCCTCCAGTCGTAGTACTTAAGGAGCACTGTAACCAGAATGGGGCCCAGACTTCCAGCCAGGTTCATACTGCAGGATAGCACTGACCACCACGTCCCAAACTGGGAGGGCTCGTACCACTGATGAGAGACAAATGGGAGGGGGGAAAAGATCATATTAAAAAACACACACACACAAATCACACTTAAACAATGTTGATCCTGACTTAGTGAAGTTCACAAACATCTACATGAACAAGACATATTACACAGTCTTGAGTAAATCTGCTAAAGCAGTGTTGGAGATGTAAATCCACCATTGCTGCATCAGTAGGAACAGAGAGGGTGAACAGCTGTCATGTTTTAGATGCATTAATCAGCAAGGAGCAAAATCTTGTTCATTCAATGCCAGCATCACATTTTAAAGTGTTGCAATATTCCTTAAACTTTCTTTACTGAAGTACTTTGATATTTCATATGCCAAATGTTAGCAAACACTGTAATCAGGACTTTGAAGACATGATTTTGAAAAGTGAAGCTTGCTTGAAGTAGAACTTTTGCTTTGGAACATGTCAGAGAGTCAGAGTCAGAGATTCAATATCGTCATGTCACACCTCATGTGGTACATGTGGTGGAACGAGATTATCTACACAGGGTCCCAGTTACATCCAACAATAAAATGTAAAAGAAAAACAGTAATAAGATCTAAGATATGAACTAAGAAAAACATCAACTAAATATACACTAAGCACTAATATGAAAACATTATGTCTAACATCAGCACAAACATGAACCATGAGTCTGTGTGAGCAGATGAGCACGCATGAACACAACATTGAAACAGATCAGCAGCAACATGAAACAGATCAGCAGCAACATGAAACACATCAGCAGCAACATGATGTGATTTTTCACAGTGATTATTCTAGTTAAGAGATTCATGAGTCTAACAGCTTCAGGGTAGAAGCTGTTCCTCAGTCTAGTGGTTCTACACTTAATGCCCCTTAACCTCCTTCCTGAGTTGAGCAGGGCAAAAAGTGTGTGTGCTGGGTGAGTGGGGTCCTTCATGATACAGGTGGCCCTCTTCCTGCATCTGGAGGTGTAGATTTCTGTGATGGTGGGGAGACTGACTCCAACAGACTTCTGTGCAGCCTTCACCACTCTCTGCAAAGCTTTTCTTTCTGCAGCTGTGCAGCCTCCATGCCACATGTTGATGCTGGAGCACAGGATGCTCTCCACTGCACACCTGTAGAAGGAGGTGAGGACTGAGCTTCCCAGACCAGCTCGCCTCAGCCGTCTGAGGAAGTAGAGTCTCTGATGAGCTTTCTTGATCAGGCTGGTGGTGTTGTTGCTCCAGCTGAGGTTGTCATTCATGTGTACACCCAAGTACTTGTAGCTGGAGACCACTTCCACCGCAGATCCTCTTATGCAGGATTGACAATAAAATCAATCAATCAATCAATCAATCTTATGTTCAGGGCGGTGTAGATGCTTTTGTTCCTTCTGAAGTCCACAGTCATCTCCTTTGTCTTCTTCACATTGATGTGAAGGTTATTCTCTTTGCACCAGCTCTCCAGGTGTTCTACCTCTTGCCTGTAGCTGGACTCATCATTGTTTGTGATGCATCCCACCACCGCTGTATCATCTGCAAACTTTACAATGTGACAGCCTGGATGGGTAGCTGCACAATCATATGTGAGCAGAGTAAACAGGAGGGGGCTCAACACACATCCCTGAGGAGAACCCGTGTTGAGGGTTATGGTGGAGGAGGAGAAGTTGTGGATCCTCACTAACTGTGGTCTGTTTGTTAAGAAGTATAATACCCAGTTGCAAATGGAGGGGCTTAGTCCTAGTGTGAATAGTTTGTTCATCAGGGTTTGGGGGATCATGGTGTTGAAGGCAGATGTGAAGTCCACAAAGAGCACACGGACGTAAGAGTTTTTCTGCTCCAGGTGGGTGAGCGCAGTGTGGACCACAGAGATGGCATCCTCTGTTGATCGGTTCTCACGGTATGCATACTGATGAGGGTCCTCGTTGATGTTGATGGTTGTTCTGATGTGGGTCATGACCAGTATTTCGAAGCATTTAGCGACTATCAGGGTGAGGGCCACTGGCCGATAGTCATTCAGACCAGTCACTGTAGAGCTTTTTGGACTGGAATGATGGTGGCAGTCTTCAGGCAGGTGGGAACTGTCTCCATGGTAAGTGAGGTGTTAAAGATGTCTGCCAGCACATCGCAGAGCTGATCAGAACATTCTTTCAACACTTTCCCGGGGATGTTGTCTGGGCCGGTTGCTTTGTGAGGGTTAATCCTCCTGAAAGTACTCCTTACTTCTGCTGAGGTCACACTGAGAAACTCTTCATCCGGTGGTGAGGTAAGTCTGGTGCTGGGTGGTCTGTTTGGGTCTTCAAAGTGTGCATAGAACTTGTTGAGGGGCATCAGGCAGAGATGAGTCTTTGGGGCACTGTTCACTCCTTCTTTTATAATCTGTTATGCACTTAATGCCTCTCCACATGCTCTGAGGGTTTTGTGAGATGAATTGACCCTCGATCCTCTGTGCATATGTGGCCTTGGCCCTCTTAATACCAGCAACCAGCTCTTATGTAATCAAATTATAAATCAAATGTTGACAAAACTGAGTCAAACATGGGTTTTCTTCAACTTTCTCTTTGACACTATAAAGCTTAGATTGGTGTATAACCCTGGCAACAGTTGCTGTATGCACAGTCTCACCTGCTGCAGCTTGTAACTCCTTTAGAATACTCGCAGATGTCTGTGGTGGTCTCTATCATCATTCTCTTTCTTGCAAGGTCACTCAGTTTGTGAGGACAGATTGCTCTTAGTGAATTTACACATGTCCCATGTTCTTTCCTTTTCTTGATTATTTTAGGTCCTTAGAAATAATTTTGTCTCCTTCTCCTGACTTGCACTTTTCAATATTTTTTTTTCACTAAATTGAATTAGGACAGTCACTATAAAGGAGGTAAATATTTACATTGTCATCCGTATTGTTACATATTGTAATTGACAATACTCTGTAGAAATTAAATACGCATATCTTTGACATTTAAGATGTTTCTCTTTTTTTAAGCCAGTTTTTTATTGACCATGTCTTATTGATGCCTTCAATTGAAGGCATCAACAAGAACATTAAACATCCAAGAGGGCAAATGCTTTTTATAAGCATTTAATCTATTTTAACATAAAAAATAACAACAACAAAAAAAAACTCAGTAAGAAATTATTCAAGTTTTCCAGTACAAGTTGCTGCAGATATACAGTGTACACTATGGAAAGAAAAAATGTTTGTGATACTGATAACCAAAGCCACTAATTCTGTTTTACAGAACAGTCCTGTGTACTGCAGGTCAGTTTATTATGATATTTTATAAATATGAACAAAATTGGTTTGTAATCATCTTAAGAAAACATCACAAGCGGATTCTAAAAAAAAAAAAAAAAAAAAACTCAACTTTGCCAGTGTGTCAGTACACAAACATATTCAGATCTCTCCAGAGATGTTCAATCAGGTTCAAGTCCAGGTTCTGGCTAGAGCACTGGAGGACATTCACAGATATTCCATGAAGTACTCCGTTGTTATTTCGGCTGCGTGCTTCAGCTTGTTGTCCTGCTGGAAGATACACCTTTGTCCCAATCTGAGGTCTAGCACACTCTGTAGAAGGTTTCCTGGTTTATATACATTTCTTCTGTCATCTTTCCCTCGACCCTAACCATTATAAAAGCAGGGTGCCCCGCCCCCTCAACAGAACCGAGTGCCCCACCTACCAAACTGAACTGTGCGCACCCCTCTTCTCGGTACTGATGTAGTGCTAAGCTAGTGATGCACAATACAGGCACACTAGCTAAAAAGCTAAAGGCAGCACTCACACTGCCTCTTCCCTCATGTTGAACCCCCATGCTGACCCCTCCCCCTCTTCGGTACAAACAGCGTGCAGCTCAAACGTCACAGATGAGATGAGCGCCCTGCCATAGCAAGGGAAACACTGTAGTCAGAGTCCTTCAGGTGACTTTTAGTGCATTTTTACTGAGGAGCGGCTTCTCTCTGGCCTCTGTACCACAACCTTACTAATGGGGTGCTGCAGAAATGGTTGTCCTTCTGGAATGTTCTCCTCTCTCCATAGACCTGGAGTTCCATCAGAGTGACCTTGGGTTCTTGGTCACCTCAATGACTAAGGATCACTCAGATTGGCCAGGTGGCAGCTGGTGGTTCCAAACTTATAATGTTTACAAATTATAGAGGCCACTGAGCTCATTGGGACCTTCAACGCAACAGAAATGTACCCTTCCCTAGATCTATGCCTCAAAACCTTCCTGTCTCTGTGGTCTAAGGAGAATTACTTCAACTTCATCTGACACGCATATCAACTCTGAGACCTTATAAAGAAGGCGTGCGTCTTTCCAAATCATGTCAAGTGAACTGAATTTTCATCATGTGAACTCCATTCAGGATGCAGAAACAGCTGAAGGATGATTAGTGGAAACAGGGCACACGTTTTTGTTTTAATTGAATTTGTCATTATGGGGTTAATGCGAGTAAAATTTTGAGGGACAAAATGGTTTAATCCATTTCGTATTTCAAATGTTGGTATTAATAACTGTTTAAAACTGAGATGCAGTTGTACTTTTTCCTTTTTCCCCCCACCGCTTCAGGAGCACTGCCTTATGTTGTAATTTAAACACAAGCAGCCATGAAGGCTTCTCATACAGCATGCCCAACAGTCATCAGTAACTTGAGAATCCACTGGGCAAACACCAAAGGTACATACAAGCTTATTTAACCCCACGGTGGTCCAGAGCGTCTCAACGTTAAAGCAGCTGTAGAACTGATTTAGAGCTGCTAAAAGATCTGTACTCTTATTGCAGATAAAATAAATTTTTAAATAAAATGTACTTTCTTTGTAAGTGTCTACTAAGAATGATCTAAGAATACATTGCCCTGTAAACTGAACCCTTCCACACGCTGAGCACACACTGACACATGCAGCATGTTCAGCTTCTGTCAGAATATTCTTTTCAATTCACAGTCTCCAACATGACGAGTTAAGAGTTAGTTAAAGATGTACAGTAGACCTCAAAAGGTCTACCAGTAATTCTTATGTGGACCAGAGACCCCAGAGTGTGATTCTAAAAACAAAAATACTTAAAACAACGCCCCCCAAGTTATTTATAGAGACCTTTAAAGATGATTAGGCAATCCTTTAATTTAGCAAACTACTACCAGCTTCTTGTCCTAGACAAGCTCAGTAGGAACATCTCAAATTAAAAGTGCTGTCCCAAAAGTCAGCACCGACAGCCAGAAACACAGTGCTACAAAAATATGCTCCCAACAAACACACTTTTTATTCTATGGTAAAGGCTGCAGTCATAAAGTTAAGAAAAAAACCAAACAAAAATAATAACAAACCTGTATCTAAAATCAAAACTAATAAAACTGTAGCTAAAACCTAAAAAAAAAACCACTAACTGAAAGCTAAAATTAGCAAAGTAGTAGCTAAAAGCTAAAAATAGCTTCAGAAGACAATAAAGCAAGTGTGCAGAGGAAAATGTTTAAGAAATACTAATGTATTTCTATGGGATAGGTTTTTGTAAATAAAGTAGAACATTTAAAAAAATGCTAAAGTATTAAAAGTAGCACCCACCTCCCAATCGTCAAATGTTTTGATATACGATGAGAAAAAACAGCGTTCAGTCTACAGAGGTGGTCTGACTGCAAGAATGAAACTATAAATAGGAAAACAACAACAACGCTGTGAGAAAAACTTTTAATCCTTTTCCATTAGTAACGGTACGGCATGGTTCGACTCTGCTCGGCACGGTTCCAAGGCGTTTCCTCTAGTAACGGTTCATAGAACCGGTCCCTTTTTTCAGAACCCTTTTCTCTGGGGTTCCAGCCGGGCTGAACCAGCACCAAAACATGACGTCAGAACACTGCTGGTCACCGACTGGTCAGGAGGCGGAGTCACTAGAGGGGTTTGAGAGAAATTTTCACAACACTCCATCCGCCAGTTGCAATTATCGGTACTCGAACTCGAGGAGCGACTGGACCTATTTTAAGATTTTAAAAACGATAATGACACTGTGGTCTAATACTGAAGTGTAGGAGTTTTTTGTGCTTGGTGGCCAACAACAAAATTCAGAGCGAGCTAGATGGAGCTCCGCTGGCCCCCTGACTCCCAGGTCCTCTCCACCGGAGCCTTGGAGCCCCCTCAGCCTGTGCAGGGCATCATCTACCCGGCTCCGAGCTCCGCTGGTCACCACGCTGGTCACCACGCTGGTCACCACGCTGGTCACCACGCTGGTCACCACGCTGGCCACCACGCTGGTCACCACGGTGGTCACCACGCTGGTCACCACGGAGGAACATACGAGCTGCTGACTCTCAGAATGCTGTTGCCCGGACCCTGGCCTCACATGCTCCTGAAGGCCGAAGGCCGATCCCAGCAGACGGGCGGACCGGAACGGGTCTGGGACGGACGGTGGACAAGATTGTTTAAAAACATTTTATTTATAAATAATAATGTATTTTTTTTATCAGTGAAGATTAAAAAAAAATGGTGCCGGATTTATCATGAAATCTTTTTGTTACTTTCATGACTTTTAAATAATCTGTAACATTAACTCAGCTGAAAAATCATAAAAAGACAAAATTATTGGCTCTCTGAGGAATTTTTTTCCTCAAACATGTTTAAAGAAGAGCTACAGCCTTTAGTTCAACTTTATTCTAACCCACAGATGAACAAATCACTAAACAAGAATTAAACTTTAAAGCAAAGCTAAAAATAATTTTAAAAAATCTGAACAAGAAACAAAACCACATATTTAAATTGAACAGTAAAAGTAGACACAATGAGAGCAAATACATCAAATGATGAAGAAAACCCATAAAATTTTAAATATAGATGTTTTGTAGAATCTGGTTCATCAGAGATTTTATGATGAACTAAAGTTCATTAAAATTTCATTAGCAGGACTGATATATATATATATAAATAACTATATATATATATATATATATATATATATATATATATATATATATAATTTATTTAGTTATTTGTGTGTGTGTGTGTAAATTAAGCATTCTAGTAAACTCCAAGAAGAAAATTAAGGGAAAAGACAACAGGCATCAGGTAAAAAAAGACATTTACTAACATATCCTAATTTAATGAGGGCATACATAGGAAAGATGGCATCAACCAAAAAATAAAATATTAAACAACAGCAAGCTAACCAGAGAAACAAATACAGCAGAGCACTTTGCCAATAACAAAAACTCATCTCTTAAAAGTTTTGGCCAGGACAAGACTTTCAAGGGTCCATTTTTACTGCTTGGCCAGGTTCCTCTTTCATGCACATTAACTTCAGAAACATTTGTAATGTGTGTGTGTGTGTGGGGGGGGGGGGGGGGGGGCACTGGTGGTGGTCTGGGGTCTTCCCCGAGAAAATTTTTAATAAAGTAGATGCCATTTCCTGGTGTATTTTAACGGGTTGTTAAACAACTACCTTACCTACACATGTAAACATTTGATTCAATAACTATTTAGAGACATCAACAAAATAAAGTCAGGTCCTCTGGACGGATGTAAAAAATTGTTGAAATTATTGATCATGCATCAAGATGTTTTAGAGACACCTCATTCAACTAGTCCATATCTGCATCATCCTATTTTAAACTCACCCTATGGCAAACATGATGAAATTAATGTAACACAATTTACCACAATGACTTTAGGGGTGCACCTGACTTTTATTTTGTTCATTTTTAATTTACAGTAGTTTTATTTGTAACACAACATGCTGTTGTACTGAGCAAAGCTGACACTGTTTAAAAATAAGAACATCACCCAGTAAACAGGTGACATTTTAATAGCTAGCAACAGTGAATTTGGGGGGGGGGGGGGGGGGTATTGTTTTCTGATTTAGTGATAGACTCATAACAGAAAATGACCTGGTGTCATGCAGACTTCACAACACTACATTACACTGTGCATTACAACAGTCACACACACACACACACATTTTACTGGTAGTTTCGTCAACCTGCCTTTAATTATTTAAACAAAATAATTTACAGATTCCATCCAACCTTGGTGCCACAGTTTCTACGCTTCATAACTTTTATTCCCCTTTCCTTCACAACCCTCTTGGAATAACATCCATCTCCTTCTCCCATTGTTTTCCTTTCCACCATTTCCTTCCCCATCACTGATTTGACCAATTTTACTTTACAGAAATCTTGGGTTCTTTCTCTCCAGCATGATATTTCTCCTTCAAGGTGTTCTCTATAACACCATCAGTTGGACTTTTCAAATTTTAAACGCAAAATCTTGCTGTGCACAATACAGACGTATGTGCTAGCTAAGATGCTGCAGATATTCGTTTCTATGTCACTATCACAGCAGTAAGCTAGCGCGCAATACGGAAGTGTCTCCCCCTCCTCCCCCCACCCAATCAACAAAAACCCCCAAAGTGACCAAGTGACGATGAGGAACACTGGTTCTTAAAAGGAAAAAAACTCTTCGGAACTACATGATTCGTGTAAATGACATATTTTAGTTTGAACTTGGCACATTTCTCCAAAGAGCAAAAAGTTTGCAGGTATGCATGTTGGTGTTGGCCACGATCAGTCAACTGTGGAGACCATCTTGAACTGGGTTGACTCCAAATAGTAATGAGTTACAATGTGCATCCAATGATTACTTTCTTAAATCTGTCCAGTGGTTTACGAAATATTTTACCAACAGTATAGGCAAATGCTAACTTGTGCACACAAGTATAGAAAAAAACATGTTTGCACTTTTCACTTCAGACAACAACAATAAAAAAAAACATTTAGCAGTTTAAGGATTTGTGTTAGATGATGCATACCTTGCGCAACACCTTCCCACACGGGGGCCAGCCACAGCCCTGACCCAGGCCGTTGATGAACCAGAGCAGTGAGAACATGGATACGGTTGAGGACCAGGAGAAGGCTACATTGATGCCCCCCACCAAGAAGAGGCCAATGGAGAAAAGCCACCGGGCACTGATCTGGTCTGACAGCACGCCGCTGATGAATTTACTAATGGCGTAGGCCATGGTCTGACTGCTGGTGATCATACCTACAGAGACACAACACAAGGTCAGACACTGTCCACTAGCTGAGTTTATCAGCTGAAGATAAACACCAGCGCAATGTTGAAATCAGCTGAACTTTGCCAAACTCTCAAACTTCTTCAAGATAATTGTTACGTTTAGTGTGGAGTTTCACAGGGTCAAAGCTTCACATTCAGGCTCAAATATCTACAGAAGCACACGAATTGTTTGTAGCATTAAAAAAAAAAAGGGAAAACCCACAAATATCACCAAAATAATTTGAGACGAACAACAGCAAAAAAAAACAAACAAAAACTTAAAATCAACTAATGAAAATCCGTCAGTGCTTCTGAATTTTAGTTCAACAGAACTGTTGTATAAAACAAACTTGTCTTCACAACAAAGATAGTACCGATACTCTTACCTAATATTTTGTTGCATGACCTTTTGAGCCAATCCCAGTAGTCTAATTATTTGTGCATCTCTCTCTGAGACTTCTGTACCTGACCACAGGTATGTTGGTCCACTCTCAAGAACAAACTACTCCATCTGTTTCATGTTTGAAGGGTTCTTTGTCCAGACTGCATATTTCAGCTCCTTCCACAGAAGTTCAACAGGATTTACATCAGGGCTCAGGGGACCACTTCAGAATACTGGAGTCCAATGGTTTGGTTCTGAGCCATCCTAGGGTGTGTTAGCTGTCTTTTTGGTTCATTATCTTGTTGAAGAATCCATGAGCTGTGATAGAGCCCAAGCTTTCTGAAACTGGGCAGCACAAGGCTCCAGAATGCCTTGTCTTGAGATACATTGTACACTACACAGACTCAAGACCTGCTACGCTATAACCTTCCTTAAGTATGAAAGCAATCATGATGCTGCTATGCTACTAATACTTCTCTAAATGGACTTCCAACTCCGTTTTCACATCCCTGAGATGCTCTCACTATCCTCCATATCCCTATTGACAGGACTCTTGTACTGTGCCAGGATTCAGCTACATCACACCATGCTAGCAAAACAGTATCACCAAAGGTGATCTGCGCAACACTGTTTCCATTATGTGGCAAGTTGTGTTTATTTGACGTATGCAGGTTAAGAACCAATTTGACTCAGTAAAAACATAGAACAAACATACAAGAAAATACTAAATACTACTTGGCAATCACGGTCGTAGCCTGGACATAGGACTAGCATGGTCAGTCTCGCTTCAAATTCTCAATGATGTTGGTGCACTGGTCCTGTATTCTAGAGCCGCTCCACACCCATCAACCAGTGTGAAGGAGGCCTGACTCCACTGACAAAAGGATGCAACGATACGAGTACTATGACCAAATACTTGAGAGAAATACTTTAAAAAGTCACATTGTAGGGATTGGGGTAAATAATTGATTTTTGAAGACTCATAACTCATAAACTAACCAGTAAACTTAAATAAACAATTTAAACAGCAAGATGCTGTAATAAACAGAACATTTCAAAGTTAACAGTTCTGTGCTCAGCAGCATTTCTGTGTAACAAAAGAAGCTGGATGTACAACAGTCTGGTCCAAATGTCCCACGTGGGAAGAACTGGATGCACTGAATGTGAACAGGTTTGAGCAAAAAAATCAGATACAACTGTCACAACAATACTACCTCGCCTTCTTTACTGCTGAAAGGTAAAGACAGCAGGACCAGGTTTATGGGAGCTGCTGCGTTGCATTTTTTGGAATAGGAGTCTGCTCTCAGGATGTGGGACAATGATTTTCACCTACTCCCCCCACACAGTTAAGGTGTTACGGGAATTTTATTTAAAGCACGAAATAACTAAATACAGCTTAACTTACTGGATAACTTAATAATTGAGTACAAAGTATCAAGGTAGAAATTATATGAATGGCAGAGTGGTGGCGCAGAGGTTAGAGAGGGTGAGCCTGTGATTGGAGGGTCGCCGGTTCAACTCCCCGAACTGACATCAAAATGTGGGTGGAAAATGTGAATCACCCACGTCTGCCTCCACACTCATTTGCCCCATTCTGGGCCCATGAGCAAGGCCCTTAACCCCCCCCCCCCCATCCCCCTGTTGCTTCCTGTGCACCTTACATGGGAGCCCTCTGCTTCACATGCGTGTTCACATGCGTGTTCACATGTGCAATGGGAAAAATGCAGGGAATTAATTTCTCTGCATTTTCTGCGCTTTAATTAATAATAGAGTACAACAACAAAAAATAAATAAATCAACCAGAGTCTGCCTGAAAAAAATATTTGAGGTGTATATTGTTTTTTAATCAAAATAAAATCCCATTCATATGTGGAGGGGGCGGGACTTAAAACTTGTAGAGAGACCATTCTATGGAGACAGTTCTGTTTCTGGCATCCTGCATGAGTATTATGATATATGATGATGGTAATGTTAAAGTTTTGTTTCCTTCAACAGCAGCTCAACCAATGAGTTACTGTTGTTGTTTTTAAAGTGTGTAAATCAAGTTCATCCCAAGTGCAAAAAAAGACAAAACAGGACAAAGAAAACAGAGTAACAGATCATTCTTACCCAAGTCATCTTTGTCCAGGTCTACTTCCTCCATCACAGAGGGCATTACAAAAGAGAACGTCTTTCTGTTAAAGAAATATAGAAAGTAGCCAGTAAACATGCAGATGAAGATGACTACACGGTAGTAGCCATATCCTGTGGCCCCCATGACTGCGGTTTGCTGAACAAACAGTAATATATTCAGAGCCTTTTCTTTAGTTTAGTCTTCTGGCAGTGAGGAAAAACCAGTGGAGTGTAGAAACCAGGGTCCAGGCAGGGCAGGTGAAAGACTGTCCATGAGGAGAAGCACTCTTTGCTGAGAACTTCTTGCAGACTCGAGGCTCTGTAGAACTGTGAGAGCGCTGCAGATGAGGGGAACCTCACACCCGCCTGAAAACGAGAACAACATGCCGAACATGACTTAAGAAGCTTTTACACCCAGCTGAAACGAACGGCACATACGGAGAACCTCAGAGCTGGAAACAAACAAGAACAACTGCTCAATAAGATCAGCTTAGAAACTGACGTTGTATGTATCACTGCAAGAAGCCTTTCTCTACATTATTTTATAATGTTGGTTGTGCTGATCTAGCCCCTGGTTCTTGCAGATACGGTGTCTGGATAAATCAGATTTACCCTTCAGCTCTTCTGGTTCTATCTCACAGGCTGACGTAGAAAATATCAGAACAGACCCTTTAACTGGCTTCGAGTGGCAAAATGCAACCTAGAAGATATCAGATGTCAAATAACTTGACCTTGGAAGACGGACAGAATAAGACATTGTGTGTAGGTCTGTCACAATAAACAATAAATCAATACATCAATTAATCGCATGGTAACTGAAAATTATCAACCTCATTTTCATTTATCAGCTTTATCATTTATTCGTGTCTCTCTTTCTACTGAAGACACTGGATGACAAAAGGCTCAACTCCAGTGTTCTTCACTGACTCCTCCCTTTCTCTTTAAAATCCATTTTAACCGTCCAGAATTGCGTTTTTGGATCGTTAAAAGCAGCTAATCTGAGAAGCTAAGCTAACAGTCTGACCTCGGGGAAAAAACCTCCGTCTTGTTGAAGCTCCAAAATTCACCGGTGAAACCCGCACTTTAGTGTAAAAAGTTGTTTTTCTTTGCAAAAAGAAGCTGAGAACTTATTTACTGATTTTTATTAAAAGCTTTGTGTGACAAATGCTATGCTAAAGAGCTCAAACCACACCGAACGTCCGCCTTTTGAGAACTGAAAAACAGGAAGAGACAGCTCATGTCACGTCAAGGGGCCTCCCTCCCATTTTTCTTAGAGACACACTACTCGCTCCCTCACTATCCATCCTTGGGTTCTGTCTTATACTGCCATCAGTGGTCAAAAAGGTACTACACACACAATTAACCAACATTTCTTCTTCAATTTGACAATAATTACTAATTATTGTCAAATTTCAAAAAATATTATCGTTTATCGCAACAATTTCTGAGACAATTAATCGCCCAGCAAAATTTGTTATTGTGACAAGCCTAATT